TTTTGCATCCTTTTGACTTAAAAATAGTAAGGTGTCCCCTAGGGAAAGGTGAATTTCTACAAGGAGATATCATGAGGTGTCTCCATTTCATAATTTTGGAGCTTGTATACAGCATTTCAAATTCACAATGTGGTAGGGAAAAAAAGGAAAACTTTCTCTTTTCTTTAATATTTTTTTAGTTGTTGATGGACATTATTGTCTTTATTTTTATGTGATGCTGAGAATCGAACCCAGTGCCTCCTGCATGCTAGGCGAGCACACTACCACTGAGCCATAATCCCAGCCCCAAGAAACCTTTCTTTTTAATTTTCTTACCATTTCTGTTTTTCAATTTATTTGTGTATTTCTTTAAATTGACATATAAAATTATATATATGTATTATGTGCAATATGCTGTTTAGAAGAATTTTGTTTTGCATGATGGCTATATTTGAAAAGTTAACACCTGTATTCCCTCGTGAGTTCTTATTGTGGTGAGAATACTTAATGCCAGCTCAACATTTTCTATTATACACTGCACTGTCACTAGGCCTAGCAGCCATACCATACAAGAGATCTCTTGGGCATAATCCTCCTGTCTAAATGGGGCTGTGGGGAAACTTTTGACCAGCATTTCCCCAAACCACCTGCCAACTTCCCCAGCATGTGGTAGCCACTGCTCTGTTCTCCATTTCCATGAGCTCAACTTTTTATTTTCATGTGGTGCTGAGGACTGAGCCCAGGGCCTCATGCATGCTTGGCAGGCACTCTACCTCTGAGCCACAGCCCGGCCCCCACAAGTCATTTTTTTAGCCATTGTGAATGAAAATTCTTCTCTGATTTCTTTTTTCAGTAGAATTATTCTTGTTATATAGGCAACAGATTTACTAAATAAATTTAGAAAACTGGAAACATTTGTTTTTTGAAATTGCTGCCTGAAAGGTTTGATAAAGAACCCCAATGATTGATTGCTTTTATTTCTGACATAATTTTCAATGTTTTCTGGAGGTTACATTTGGCTGTCAGAACACTTACCGATGCATGGGAAATGTCAACTGCAATAGTTTACAGACCTTTTATACTAGATATTTAACTTCTTAAAAACCTTAGTGGAATGCATTTGTGAACTTAGATTTTTCTAAATAGTCTTCCAATCAGATTTGTATGGTCAGAAGGTACAAAAAGAGTTTGTGTGTTAGATTAGAATCTACTTCATCTCAATGTAGTCATCAAAAGCTTTCTAGATGTCACACAGGCTGCTGGAGCAATGATAAATATCTTATTTTCAAGGTAAAGTAATAACATTTGAAAATAATGAAACTGTGATGACATGATTTTTTTCTAAGTATGACTCAACTTGAAACATTAGATTATTTAAGAATTTGAAAGAACAGTATATCTATCACCACTGCACTACAGTTACTTTGATCATTTCAAGAACTATAGGGGATTTTGGAGTTTTTTATTCTACTGACATTAAATCTGAGTAAAACAGGTGACTTATTAACTATGATAAAAGCACAAATATTTAGCATTTCTTCCTGAACAGAGGAACTCTTCTCATTGAAATTTTTCTCAAGGTATTTTTGTGATTTTAGAATTTAAAATTCACTTAAAAATAGAAACAAGTAAAAAGAACTACTTAGCCTCACAAAACTAGTTAAAAAATATGCTAAAATCTACTTACAGAGTCAATACTTAGACTCTACTAGTTTTATGTAAAATAAATAAAGAAAAATTACAATTACAAAAACATCTTTCCCCTTGAGAAACAAAAGTCCATTTTTGACCAACTGTTCCCTACACACACATACATGTTATTGTAAATTTCATTAGAAAAGCAAGACATATTTGTCTTCCTGACACTAAATTTTAATAAATGTTAATTTTTCACAAAAGTGAATGTGCTTCAATACCTACCAAACACGTAGAGTGTGTTCAGTATTACCTCCTTAGATCATCAGTACAAACTTGTAGATTCCATCTGTATGTTTCTACAGTGTCACCATCAAGCAACCACCCAAAAGTCCTAACTCTTACTAGTGCAATGTAGTGGCCTCAGTTGGGGATATTCCACAGTGAACCACAACAGCAACAAGGTGGTTCATTCCATCAGGATTATCTGTGTCATTTGAAGTGTTAAATAGAGGGAATTTCTAAAGAAAAAAAAATATGCAACAAGAAAGTCTTATGTTTCAATGAAGATGATCCACATATGTAACTTGTTCAGGTATATACCTAGAATCATGGGCAATTCAACCCTTTGTGTGCTTCCTGCTTGCTGATCTTCTTAGTACTATTTGTGTTCCATAGACAGAGTTTCTGTGTTGCTAAAGCCTAATGGGTTTTTTTTTATATGTTTTGCTTCACATCAATGGAAATGTCTAAAAAGTCTTAATCTTTACTCTCTAAAGCATTGACCATGAGAGCAATGATAGATGAGTAGGATTACATCAAACACAAAAGCTTCTATCTAGCAAAGAATAAGTAAAGACTAATAGAAATCAAACAGGAGATATTGTTTGCAAACTATAAATTTTATGTGGGGTTAATATCTAAAACATAAAGAACTAAAAAGATTCATTATATGAAAATGAATAACTTGATTAGAAACTGGTCAAAAGATCCAAGTAGGTGCTTCTCAAAAGAAGAAATATGAAAAGTTGTTCAGTACAGCTCCCTAGTCTCCACCCCAGAGCCTCTTATAGTCACCGTTGCCTCTGTTTCTCTGAGTTCTACATTTTTAGATCCACATATGAGTCAGCTCATGCAGTGTTTGTCCTTCTATGCCTGTCTCATTTTCCTTTTCAAAATGTCCTACAGGTTTATCCACATCCTAGCAAATGTCAGGATTATCTTATATTTAATGACTGCATGGTGTCCATTGTGTATATATACCACAGTTCTTCATCAATTCATCTATTCTTCAGTTTTTGTCAAAAGTTTTCTTTTCACCATTCATATTTGTATTGAAGCTGCAGTGATTTGTTGGCAGATGGCATTGAGCCAATGGAAATTCTAATGACAGTCTCTAAATTTGCCTCCATTGGTCTTTTGGGTACCAGTGCTCAGCATTAAAGAAAAATATTGGTCCAGAAGTTTGCAGTCAACCAGTACTATTTTGAATTAATGGGAATACCTGCTGCAGCAATTCAGTTTATTTTGAGCACTTTATTTTTGTTGTCAATTCAGGAGAAACAGCTTTGGCATACCAGGGCTGGTCTAGGAAAGAGAACCTTAGGTTCTTAGCAAATCTCTTCCATAGTGAAGCCACTCAGAGGAAAAGGTTGGAGTAATCTCTTCTAATAAGTTCAGAACAAGATTAGAACAAAAAATGAGTTTTTTTTTTACAACTAGATGCACCAAGATGTGCATTAATTCTTAAATTACCTGCCCCATGCAATTACTATATTTTACAAAATGAGAAAGAAGGAAAAACAAAATAGTTGCTTACCTAATGGTTATATTGATAATAAAAATAATAATAGTGCACTAGCCCTGGTGTGGGTTCATGAGATTTTTCATGGCACATTAATAAATTAAACCTGATGTCTTACTTATGAAATTACTTTGCCCAGATTAAAGTTTTTTAAGTCTTTATTCCATTATGCATCAATTTTTATATAGAGCGAGTGATAAGGTATTGATGGCACACCCTTTCCTTTGGAAATGCATCACTGCTGTTTGAGCTGCCTCCTCTAGGTCTAGAAAAGTCTTAGATTTTAACATTATTTCATTGATAAAATGAAACACAGGTATTGTCAGGTCTTGTCCATCAAGATGCATGCATAACTTTGACCATACTTACCCTGTATTCATCTTTCTCCTCAAACCTGATGGATTCCCATGAATACAAGAATATTCAGTACCTGTCTCTAGTAATGCTAAAATGGCTTGCTCATTTATTCTGTCCAATAAATTGCTATTTCTATACATGGCCTCTATTTTCCCAACACAGCATGCACAAATAAGGCTGGAGCTGGGCTCTCTGGAAGACCTTGACTTTTTCCCTGGTTGGCAATTGTGGGAAGAGGATACTCCCACATCGGGGCAGTAAGCATAGTCTTAGTTTCTCTATTCTCAAGTGCTTAGAAAACCACTGTTCAGCCAGACACAGTGGAGCATACCTGTGATGCCCGTGGCTCAGGAGGCTGAGGCAGGAGGACCATGAGTTCAAAGCCAGCCTCAGCAACTTAGTGAGGCCCTTAGCAACTTAGCAAGACCCTGCTTCTAAATAAAGTATAACAATAAAGTATAAAGTATATGTTGCTCAGTGGTTAAGTGCCACAGGTTAAATCCCCAATACTGAAAAGAAAAGCATTCTTCAGGTTTTAGCTTTTCCCATAGTCTTACCAAAACAGTACTAGATTGATCATCAGCTTCTTCCACAGGAGACCCCACTGTATTTAGATCATTATACATCTGGCTCCTCGTTACCTATATTCATCATTTTGTTATTCCTTTGCCTTCTCTTATCCTCCACTTTCTGGTCAATTCATTCTCCTCTCTTCCTATGGCTTGTGCTGCTTGAGAAACAGAAAAGCCTACTAGAGGGTTCAGGTTCAATACCAAAGCCCCCTAAGATTGCCCCAGAGCCATCTGAAGATCTTTCATTCCTGCTATAAATGTTTCCTTATCAGGATCAATGTGGTTCAATATACAAAGAGCATACAAGGCATTATATGATGATGAACACATAAACAAGCCTGCTGCCAAGGTAGACTCCTGCTTCCATGTTCAAAATCTACTACTGCTATTATAAAAAGTAGGAAAAAGTGGGATAGCAAAGATAGGAGGGTGTGCTCAGTGAAGATCCAGTTTCATGCATCACATTTTCAAATTCTTCCCTTCAGGCATTTTGTGCCTAAGAGGAAATATGTGAATGAAATCTTTCCAGGATAAATGAATCAGACACATAAAGTGAGGAGCACAGTACTAATATGGTAAACACTTCTCTGAAAACTTTCATTCTGTTTTTTCCAGGTAAAACAATAATGCAATAACATTAAGATGAAGGATTTTAACATTTAAGCAATAATTTTGAGGAAATCATGTCAGTCTTTGATGTACATTCTTCATTTAAAGTTGGAAATCTTAGGAATTACACAAGAAAAGTCACATAATGTAGAACTTTATGGGCCGTGTACAGGAAAGAAAATTCAAAAAAAAATTACTGAGATAGTTGTTAGAGAGAAATATGTACAAAAATATGCAAAATCAAAGTTATGTAAAACAGAAGAAATTAAACGTGTTTTAGGGAAGAAACACAACTACAATATTGAAATTCACAACATTTGCCGTGGGAACTACAATGTCCATTTAGCTCTGAGGTCAGTGATCCATCAAAAAGAAGAAGCTGCTTTGCTGAAGAGTCTCCCCAGGGCCCTGTTCATATCCCTGTTCCTCAGGCTGTAGATGAAGGGGTTCAGCATGGGGGTGACCACAGTGTACATCACTGAAGCCATCATGGTTCTCTGAGAAGAATGGGTCACAGCAGAACTGAGGTGAACCCCAAATCCTGTTCCATAGAACAAGGAGACCACACAGAGGTGAGATCCACAGGTGGAAAATGCTTTATACTTGCTCACAGAGGAGGACATTCTCATTAAGGAGGAGACAATCTGAGAGTAAGAGTAGAGAATCCCAGTGACAGGGAACACACCCAGCAGGGCAGCCACTACATACAGAAAGATGTTGTTGACAAGGGTGTCAGAGCTGGCCACCTTGAGAAGATGAGACATTTCACAGAAAAAATGTGGGATTTCAGTGCCTGTGGAGAAGGTCAGTTGATTCAAGAGCAGAACATGAATGAGGGAGACCCAGAACATGATGAGCCAAGACACGAGAACCAGTAGGACACAGAGCCAGGGGTTCATGATGATAGTGTAGTTCAGGGGGTGGCAGATGGCCACAAAGCGGTCAAAAGCCATCACAGTCAGTAGGAAATTATCCATCCCAAGAAAGAGAAGAAAAAAATACACCTGAGTGAGGCACTGTATGTAGGAAATGTCCTTGTTCTGTGCCTGGATGTTCACCAGCATCTTTGGGACCGTGGTGCAGATTAAACAGACATCAGTGAAGGACAGGGTGGAGAGGAAGAAGTACATAGGGGTGTGGAGGCGGGGGTCAGTGCTTGTGGCCAAGATAATGAGCAGGTTCCCCAGGATGGTGACCAGGTACATGAAAAGGAACAGTCCAAAGAGAACAGGCTGCAATTCAGGGTCATCGGACAAGCCCTGGAGGAGGAACTGTGATAATCCTGTGTGGTTTTCAGCTTCCATGTATATAGTGTGTCTTCTGGTTCAGAAGGTAAAATCACAGGGCTGGGGCTATAGCTCAGTGATAGAGTGCTTACCTGGCACACGTGAGACACTAGATTCAATCCTCAGCACCACATAAAAATAAATGAATAAAATAAAGGCACTTGTCCATCTACAATCAAAAATTCAAAAAAAAAGGTAAATCAACATTCACTGAACATCCATGCTTTCTTTGCATTAACAGAAATCTCTTTTTTCATTGACTAATGAGTTTAATTTTCTTTTTAAATATATGTTTGTAAGCTAACTTTTCATATGCTGTAGACTAGACAATTGAAGACATCTAACATGTTTTCCTTGTAATTTCCATACTTCTTTATGCTACAGCTTTATGATCATCTTAAACACAGAATATTTAATTCAACTACCTTTATTTATGAGTGGATACACCATAATGACATGACAGTTTTCTCTCCATGCCTTTTGTCTTTCTTAAAATGTGGTTTTGCTATTACCAATTTAGAGATATTTTTATTAGTTTAAATCAATCACACAGAATAATGGGTTTCACTTTACATACCTGTTTATAACACACTTTGATCATACATACCCACCTATTACCCTCCTTTGCTCCCTTATTCCTGTAGATTTTAAGACACTTTTCATCTCAGTAGTACTCTCAGTAAAATAAAGTTGCCATTGTTATCATTAATATTATTTAAAACTCATGCTTTATGTTTTGGTGATATATACAGGTATAGATCTTATGTGTGTACATACATATATATGGTATAAATATGGGATTCTTTATTTTTATGTGTGTGTGGTACATCGATCGAACCCAAGGCCTTGTGCATGCAAGGCAAGCACTCTACCAACTGAGCTATATCCCCAGCACCAATATGGGATTTTTGAGTCAGATTTTCAGTAACAGAAGTTTGCTCCACCAACATATCACCTTTCATATCATCTTTGTGACCTTGAGAAAGCTATTTAAACTCTCTCAACTACCAGTACTTCTATAGCAGAAGTAGTAATTATTCCCTACATGGTAGGATTGAAAAGCATAATTAAATAAGATGATACAATTTTTCTACTGTGATTTCTACTGTGATACAGTGGGTATTTCATAAATGTGAACTCCTGTTCTTCATATCTCAATAGATCTGTCGTGGATGGCTATCATTTCTCAATCTCTCTCTGAAACTGGGTCAGGCATCTGGGATGAAGTTCTTATTGGTGTAAACTCAACAGCTATCTGCACACTTCTACTGTCATAGAGCACTACTAATTGACAGCAATCCCTATGGGTGCTTCTTTCAGAGAGCACCTGCTGGGTTATTCTTCCAAGAGGAGGCAAAAGCATGTGGACCAGCCCCACAACAGGAGAGAAAAGCATGTGAGGGAATGGGCGTTCATGTGTCTGTGCTCTTGAATGGGAATTTATTGTATCACAGGGATCACAGCTAAAGGCCAAAAAATGTAATTCATGGATTTGATCACAAATATCCAAAAGTTGTATAATCTATCTATCCTACAGGATAAAAAGGATAAACTTAAGGTTTAAAAATAAATATTTACATTCTATGACAGAAAAATCAGTGCTATAAATGTCTAGAGAATGAGGCATTTATAAAATCCACTGAGGATCAGGTTAATCTGGGAAGAATGTCTGCTCTGAAATAGGAATGCTTCCACTGAGAGGAAAGATAAGTCGTTGTTAATCATGGGAAGTGAGGGAAGAGAATAGAATGTCTACTTGCCCAGTTGGTGGGTGAGCTGGTACACAAGGGATGGAGAAGCCAGCATGCTGGAGAGCAGGGGACAAGACTCAGGAGGAACAAAGTGTATGAAGCCCACAGTGAAGCTTCTGTAATCTTCCTTTAAGACTCTCTCAGGATTTATTTCCTTTGCGGCTTGTGATGGTTTTGTCTTATTGATTCTTTCCAGGGATGTACATGGTGCCTCTCACCTTACAGGTCCTAAGCAACTGCAAATGTTGGAAGTATAATAAATATTATAAATAAAACGTCTCCTGTGACCCAAAAGAGAAATTTTTTAACTTCATATCCCCAAAGATAGGCACAGAATTAAATGGTGGAGTTATGAATTATCCTTATATTTCTTTTAAAATAGATATGAAGGCATATTATTTAAGGATCAACAAGTAAAACCAATTCCGGGAATGGAAGACAATGTAAGAAAAGTAAGTTTGCCAACATTACTCATTACAAAAAAATTAAGTTAGTGATGTGAAACTATAACCAAAAGCACAATATATGAAAAGGATTTGAGGAAACTTAACAGCCATTAGTTGGGGTGGCAGCCAATGCTTAAGGCCTGAGATTGTCTGTAAAGGAAGATAAAAAGGACAGTTCTCAAGCCCAATAAAAAATGGTTGCTTCAAACCACATCCAAGAGGAGATGCTACATTAAACATTGCAGTATTATGTCAAAATCATGAACATGCCAAGGAAGTCTCCTGCAATTTCAATCACTCAATACTTTCCAAAAACTGAAGAGATTTGTATAAAAGAAAAGGAAGTAAGACTGAGTGTTGAATATGAGATAAAACTGTATTGATGGTAGATATTTTGTGTATCTTAAGTTAAGATGAAAACTACAATACAGATATATCAAATACCCTATTGTGTACTTGGTAAGTCAGATATACCAATAAAATAATTAAGCATTCCAAAAAGAATCCAATAAACTTGAAACAAAATAGGCAGTATCTTGTACATAGTAGACATTTAGTGAATAGTTAGCAAATAATTGGATGCAGGAAGTTGGACAGCAGCCTAAATTTATAGAAAAGAGTGCAGAAGAGTTGGAAACTGAGGAAATAACACTTTCAGGAGAGATGCTCTAGAATGCAAATAGTGAGAGAAGGAAACAGAAGAATAACCGGAAGATACAGTTCTTAATGGAAACTCAAGTGCATTCACAGCACTCTAGTGAAGCCAGAACTAAAAGAGGCAGTCAGTATACATAGGTAAATGGAGTCAGATCCATCAAGGAGGCCAATTTGGGTCTGGGAAGTTGGAGAGAGACTGAAATGCTAATGCCTTCAGAGCTCTTCCTCCACCATTATCAAGATAATCTGGCCCTGCTCCAACCTGTTGCTAAGGTAACCTGTCTAAGGGATTGTCCTTCCCTACAGGTTGTTGTTAATTACACCCCATCCTGCCTGGATCACTTTTCCAGTGGCCCTCCAGCCCATCTGTTTCCCACCTTTTAGCCATCCCACCAAGCATTTCCTGGGCCTAGTCACATATGCTGGAAGGGAGAAAGAGCAGGATAATAAAGGAAGCCTAGGACATATAAAAAATCAAAACACCCTTGCTTCTTGGGATACCAGAATACCAGCTATGGTCCCTTTCTCCCTCCTGGGAGGAGTCTGTTAACCCTTTTTAAATAAACCCTGCTTTATACGCTTGTCTCGGTGTGCTTCTCTAATGTTCAAACTTAACATGTGAGAGAGCAGAACTCGTCACCAATAACCGGCAGTATCACTAGAGAGGGCTTAACCTCCTTAGACTAAAGAAAAGGATGTGCCTGCTCTCACTGTTCTGGAGGTGAAGCCCCGTACCTGCGTTCTCTCTGTACTCTTATTCCTCCTGCATTACAGGGACACTCTGCCAATCTCCAGTGGTGGTCGAAGAAGCTTTCCCTTCCCCACACTGGTTGTGAGGAAGCCCATGTGAGCCTTCATGAAGGCTGGGACCAGGGAAACATAGGTGAGGGGCACCAGGAGCATTATTTAAATTCTCTACTATTTCCAGGTTTGAATTCTCAGAGCTCCTCATTAAAGAAATTGTTCTATTTATTTTCTATTCTCCAAACAATTTGGTTCCCTTGGGGTGCAAAGAAGAGAGCAGGGTAGAAATGTTCCATTGATTTTTCTGTGGAACAGTGGCAGGGAGAAATGGTTTTATTTCCTCCAAGGGAGAAAAAAGTATCCTTTTTTGCTTTAATTTGATTTAAAAGTCATAAGATAACCCATAATGAATGGTTATTTTCTACAAAGAATCTGTCCCAGGATCCATCTCCTTTGATGTGCCTCCTTTGAACAATCTTTGGACATTATTGACATCATTTTGGACTCACAATGTTATGGAAATAAAAGAGACTATTTTTTTTTAGTTCTCTTTAAAGCTTTTTACTTTACAAAGTTATTTGTCAACTTAAATTGACAGATAAGAGGAACTTATCATTTTTAATGAGGATACATAATATAAGCTCTAAATTTTTCAACAATGGAATATATGATCACTAATTTAGTCATTGAGGTACACAGTAGGCCCCTTACATGGAACACTCTTTGACCGACACTTCTGCTCACCACCTCCCAATGGCCCTTACTGTTGGTAACTACTGATCTGCTCTTTTTCTATAAGATCAACTTCTTAAAAATTCCCAAAATGAGGGAGATCATGTGGTATCTTTTTCTGCTTGGTGTAATATAATGTTCTCCAGATTCATATATCTTGTGTCAATGACAGGATTTCTTTCTATTTATTTTTACTTATGACATATTTCTATGATAAAGTTATCATAAGTAAATTTTGTCATGAAAAGTAAAAAGTTTTGTTTCCATTTTCCAGGTAGTATTTGGTTTTGTGTATATACATATTTTCTCTTTTCACCCTATGCTGATGGACACTAAGGCTGATTCCATATCTCAGCTGCAGAACATAGGAGAGTAGGCATCTCTTAAACATGCTCATCTTATTGACTTGGATATGTGTCCAGTAATGCAACAGAGGGATCATATTGCAGTAATAGTTTATTTCAGAAAGTTAGATGTCTATTTTCATGAAAGTAGGAAAAGTTCAGATGTAATGAGCCCAGAGCTGACATGTCCAGGCAGATCCAAACTAAACTGTCTTCCCATCTTTTCCCCTTCCCTACTTTTCCCCTTCCCAGCCAATAATCATAGGAGTTGATCATAGGAGTCTTCTATTCTCAAGGTTTTTGTTTGTTTTTTATTTCCACAAATAAGAGAAAACATGAAATTCTTGTCTTTCTAGGTCTGTTTTACTTCACTTAACACGATGTTCTCCAGTTCCATCCATTTTCCTGAAAATGACATGATTTCATTCTTCTCCATGGCTAAATACTACTCCATTATGTATATAAGGCTTGGTTTAGTGGAGGGTG